TGTAATGAAGATTTATCCCGAGTTTCAAGTAATTCTGATAAAAAAAACTTTTTTAGATTGTATTATAACGTGTTTTCCCGCGGGAAAGAGATAATCTCCCGCGGTAAAAAGTAGCCTATGTCACTCTTCAGCCCTCCATCTATCTCCACACAAAAGTTCACGCCAATCCGCCAAGCCGTTTCGACGTGAAAGAAAGACAAACAAACAAACACACTTTCGCATTTATAATATTAGTATGGAAGTATAGATAATAAGCCACGCTAGCATAAGGTCTGCCTACTTCTTTTTTAATTCAGTTAAATTATATTAATGTATTCTATGAAAAAACATGTCATAAACAGCCAACGCTTCGTTTAGCTCTGCAGTTTAAATTAATGCATATTCATGATCTACTCCTAACATGACGTAAGTGATGACATCACAACAGAAGGCTAACCCACGGTTATTAGGGTGGTAGGAGATTTGAATTTGAAGTAAGCTCTTGAACTTATTATTCAACTTTACGACGTCGCGACTAACAAAAACAAGGACATAATATTATGGCTGTTAGAGGCGGTATAATGATATTAACAAGCTATCGTCTGCGGGTTCGCAATTGTTCGTAATTGTTCTTAACCAAAATATCTACCCTCAAAATTAAACAGAGCTTACGTTTGAGTTCATCTTAAATGATTTAAATTAATCTTTTTCATATCTTTAATGAATTGATATGGATATTGTATAGCTTATAAGTTTTCATTACCTAACAGGCTCTATTTATGTAAGAACAATTATTAATTACAATATGTAATTTTTTTTCAACTTGAGCTCGTAGTATCAGGGTTAAGATGTTCAGCTTTATAATATTAAATATATTATAGACACTAACGACTCACCGTCCCTAACTTGCTTCCCAATACAAACTTTTATCCCCATTTTCACCTCCTTAAAGGATGATTTCCAAGATAAAAAGTATCCTATGTCTTTCCCAGGGTCTCAAACTATCTTCTTACCAAATTTCATCTAAATCGGTTCAGTAGATCCTAAGATTACCCCTTACAGCGTCACAAAGTCACAAAGTTACAAACTTTACCTCTTTATTATATTAGTACAGATTATACACCAATACTCATTTGCTTGCAAAAAATATTTTTACGCAAAACTAAAGAGAAGAATATTTTGTAAACAAAACCATTTTATATAAGCGACTTAGAACTTCTATAGAACAAAATTTCCTACCTTTTAAATGCATAAAAAATACTAAACTAGAGAATCTCATTAGGAAAAACAGAAACAGAATCTAACTATGTCCATTTTGTTTGCTTACCGTAGCTGTTTTAATTAAGAACACTTTCTAGTGGCAATTTTACTCGCTTTAATTAATGCCTCGAAAGTAAGAAAAGTTAGTTACTTTAACTTAACGATTAACAAACCTTTCCACTATAGCGTTATTTATGTTAATTTCTTGCATTTTGTATTTGAGTTTGATATGATCATATAGTTGACTAGCATTGCCCGCGGCTCCGCCCGCGTTCAGATGACCAAAAACCAAATTCTTAGGTTTTACATATTAGTATACTCTTACATTGCAGTTTTTGTATTTATTCTCAGAAATGAGACATTTTCCCGCAGTAAAAAGTATCCTTTTTGTTGACCCGGATAACCAGCTATCACCATACCAAATTTCATCAAAATCCCTCCAGTGGTTTTTCTGTGATGCGGTAACAGACAAACAGACAGACAAAAAATCTAAAAACTATAGATTCGGCCTCTGTATCGATAATAATAATTATTTCAATAAGATTTTCCAAAAAATATTTAATGTACAGATTCGGCTTAGTTACTATTAATACCATAAATGTGAAAGTGTGTTTGTTTGTTTGTCCTTCTTTCACGTTGAAACGGAGTAACTGATTGGCGTGATTTTTTTGTATGGAGATATTTGAAGGACTCGAGAGTGACATAGGCTACTTTTTACGGCGGGAGATTATCTAATTCCCACAGGAAAATACGTTATAATACAATCCAAAAAAATATTTATGATCATAATTACTTGAAACTTGGTATTAATACTCTTCAATAAAATTAAATAAATACGTGTATTAGCATTTTTCGAAATACATCATAGGGGATGAAAGTTTGTATGGAACCTATTTTTTAAGTTTTATTGTAGTTTTAGCGCGAGCGAAGCCGCGGGTTCTGCTAGTATTATATAAATATTTAATTATTCAAGAAATCAAAGCATATTTATGATCAAAGCATTATAATGTATCTTAGTCGCAAAGCAATCAATTCTTGAAATAATGAACTTAACAATACGTATATATAAAAATATATAACAATTATTACTTGATAATAAAAATAATTTAGATATCGTATGTTATTGATTCCTTTGTTCAGATACATTGTGGTTTTACAGCCCATTTAGAAGCCAATGCCCATTAAATCTTCTATATAAATAAAAATGAATGTTTTTTTATTGATTAGATTGTGATGAAACTTTTTTTAGTTGTTCTGCGTGCAATCGCCAATGTTTCTAGCCCAAGCAAATAATTTTTCTTCAATGTTTGTGCTCTACATAGAGCATCTAAGCCATTCATCCCTAGGGACGCAATCGAGCGAAGCAAAGATAAACTGCTAGTATTATATACAGCCTATAATTGCGAGCAAATTTAATAAGTACTTCAATATACTCTTAAAATATTCAAGTTTATCATTCATGCATTAAAAAAGACATTCCATAGTTTTCAAATATTGCTACGCTCTGGTCTACCTTAGACGGTATTGATCTCTTGAAAGGTTTCGTTATTCGGCCTTCAAAATGGTTTCAAAACGCGTAAAGATTGTTTTTAGAACATTCAACTGTACTGTTGCGCCGATTCAGCATTTATTTACTCATAATACATGCATTATTTATTCTAAACTAGCGGCTCACCCTCGCTTCGTACGTTTTAAATATATATATATATAGTTATTAGCCAGCGTTAGCCATATAAATTTTAATTTCTTTTTTCGTTAATTTTTCATTTTTTTTTTCTCTTTATTAAAACCTTCCGTAGACCTTAAGGAACATACGAAAACAAACTTTAGCCGAATTCTTCCAGCCATTCTTGAGTTATGCGCTTACCAACATTCATTTTTATTTATATAGCAGATTTTTATATAGGTACAGACAATCCTTACTAAAATTATAAATGAAGAGTACTTCTTTTCTTTGTTATCCTGTTATGCGGTAACGGAGCGAAACATTTTCATGCTGTTGGTTTGTGAGCTGGAAAGTTTTATGAAATAAAGCATTGGTAAATATTTTTAGCTTATATTCGTAGCTTATTATATTGGTATCATTGGTACCTCATTGCGTTTGCTTTTTGAAACCGAATGAAGCGGGTTCAAGCCATAAGTGATCTTTGATTCGAATTCTTGATTTGAATTTCGTTTTTAATATGATAATTACTTGCTCATACAACAAAGGAAAACACCATAAGAGAGAGTCTATGTCTGAATCTGAATTATTTTCGAGAGGTTCTATATCGCATTAAGGGGGGCCCGTTGCCAGCAATGTGACATAATAAAATTACTATTTTATATTATTTTTATCATATAGGTAACATCAAGTATTATAAATAAATTATTATTAAAAATTATATATAGATTGTTAGCATATAGCAAAAAATACTAAAATATACGCGTGCATCTAAGACGCGAAGGAAACAAGAACCTATAACTAGCATCTACACCGAATCTTACTCAACAATCCGTACAAAACTATTTTGAATCAATATATAAACTCTCAAATATTGCTCTTATATAATATTAAAAGAGAATATTGCTTTTTGCTTATAAATATGCATAATCTATAATAATATACGGGACATCCTGGCACAGGTACCTATTTACTTAAAAGGATGTCCCAATAACGGACTTAATGTATTTAAAAACTCTTTTTATTAATAAATCATTTTTCATTTTTCATTTTTTCATAATGTCTCTAACGGTAGAACCATGATAGTAAAATAGCTATAGCAAATAGCGCATAGACATTGTCCCATGCATTTCTGGCAATATCCCAAACTGCGAAATGACTCACGGCGTCCCCTTTTAAAGTGCACGAGAACAATTTAAATGTAGGATGATTCATATTTTACTGCTCTATCATGCTGTTACTGTCATATTTATGTTGTGAATAACGCAAACGCGGTTATTCACTCCTGTGTACTTATTTTACACTATTGAAACTATAATATGCAAAATCCATAAGCACTAGCACGTAGGACATACTTTTAATCCTATTAAAGTTATAAATACAAAAGTTTATAACGATATCTGGAACGCGTTCACGAGCGAAGCTTTGGGCAGGATCTGTTAAATTGAACAAATATTTTCATAACTTAATTACTCGAAAGCGTAATTTGGCATCAATATTCATTAGTTTGAAAGCTCTTTCTACGAGAGCTTTTAGTTTTATCACCAGCGGGAGGAAGGTCAGAGGGCTCGTGTTGTAAACGCCACTCTTCATTACATACCAAGGGCCAAGAAGGCATTAATTCAAAAAGGTCCGCGAGTAATATTTTTTTTCGGTAGTCGTATCGTAAAACGTTATTTAAGACGCATTAATATCTACCTGATGGTGACAGATTTCTTGAAAGAGTTTACAGCTTAAAATATATAAGTAAAGTAAATATTATTTATATATTAAGTGAAAATACTTATAAATATTGTCAAATCTAAAATGTTTTTTTTTAATTAATGGTCACTTTGAGAATCTATCTTTCTCCTTATGAGATAAAATTAAAAAAACACAAATCATAGTTCTAAATGGACTATAAATAATAGTAGAATTTTAGAAAAAATAATAAGAGTCGGCGTTTTTATCATATTATGTAAGTGTTTATATACATAAACACCGCAGCGGCCTTCAGGCTTCTTTGTTATAATAATAAAAAGACAAAAGTTTTTATTTTCATATCTATGCCTACATCTCGTCAAAACTCTTCAAATTATTTCAAGTATTATCCACTAACCTGTAGTATTGCCAGACATCTCAATGATGCACTTGCACTCGCGCGCGATCTCCCGCGAGTTGAAGGGGCGGACCCTCACCGCCACCTTCACCGACGACATGGCTGAGCTTTGATCAGCTACGCCACTAATACATCAGTGCTTCACCCGGAACGCACCTGAAAAGAATTATAACCGTTAGATCAACAAAGCAATACATTAGAGAAAAAAACTGAGAAAAACAACAACCTGTGCTTTAGGGCGCAGTCAAGTATTTTCAAAATCCCTAGAAATGTCACGCAATTGAACTTTTTGTTTAATTCACCTAACAGGTTTCTTACTGAAATTATTGCTATTTTTTTAAGTTATAGGTACGTTTAGATCATATAATTTTTGTATGCTGTTGTCGGTTGGTGGTCGTTTTTATATTGAAATATATCAGAAAACAGTAAAGATTTTTTATAAAATATATTCTATTAATTTTCTATTATTCGTCTTCTGTAACTTCAAAATTCAAATTATATAGAACTAGCGACACACCCTCGCTTCGAACATTCGACATTCGAAATAGAACAAATCTATCCCAAAGGGAACCGTACATTTTTCGGATGATATATAGCCTGTAGCCTTCCTCAATAAACGGGCTATCTAATGCAAAAAGATTTTTTCAAATCAGATTAGCACTTCCTGATATTAACGCGTTGAAACAAACGAACAAATAAACAAACTCTGTCTCTTTATAATATTAGTATAGATAACACAAAAGTACTTTTGATATTCGAGAAAATTCCAAAAAGCTTGTTAATTGGAGATTTTTTACCATTGAAAGCATTTATGACTAAATAATGAGAAGTAATTTCGTAACTAACAAAAGAGCGAGTTTTCTTTTTAACTAGCACAACTTCTAAGAAATACAATATTTTTCACAAACTCTATTTCAACTGCTATTATCATATTATAATAATGAAAAAAAAACCGTTTAATTATGAAGTGTTATGATTTATAATAACGTGACAAAAAGATGACAAGACATACGAGTATTCATTAAACCTAGTGAGTGTTAGAAGCGTTGATATGCTATGACGTTACGTAATGAACACCGAAAATTTAATATTGAGAGCACGGTATAAAAGAAACGGAAAATCCATGTTAGTCATGTCTAGATGTAATAATCCAGGTTATTATGTAATAGAACCTCTGATATTTAAGCATTAACAATATATTTAGATATGGTCATGTTAATCGGTAATAAATATTAATAAAAAGTAAAAGTATTTGATTTATCACACTATCAGACTACTATTACATATAGTAATTGCGAAAGTTTATGTGTATGTATGTTTGTTACTCCTACACACTGAAATGGATGGACAGATTTGGATGAAATTTTGTATTCGGATACACTATGGACTGTTTGACAGATAGGGATCCGAGAGAATTGAGAGTAAGTCCTAGTTGTAATATAATTTAAAAAAATCTTGATATGAGTATACGTAACGAAAAAAAATCTGTAATTGGCCATATCATCACAAGTAGATACCTATTGTAACTTTTATTTTATAATAATAATAATAATTTAAACTTTATTTATAAATAAGGAAATTGAACATAGAACATAGTAATTTTTACAGTAAAGGCTTGTACAAATCAATTCATACGGTTGGGTGAAGTACTGTACTCCTTGCTAGGTTATATATATAATCTGTATTCAGGAGTAACAGTCCCGTTCCCCTTTGGATATTTACCAATATATTTATGTACCGTACAATATGTTTTCTTATACTATCAACTAATTAACTAATTTTACTTGTTTTTGTTTCACTTATGTTTATAAAACAATTTTAACTTAGGCTAGAATCTCAAGATTAGATTCGAGACTTCCTAATAGGAATAAACGCTTATTCTCACTGCTATTGAAAATGTTTTTTTTTTTTTAATTTACAAATTAATTTTATTTACACAGTATAAAAAAAACTTAGAATATAAATTTATATGTAATTTTAACGAACGACGCATTTTACATTGAAGCAGAATGTAAAATATGACCTAAAAAACTTTCATATTGGGGTTAATAAGAGAGCAGTATTCATTGAAGAAACATCTCCGCGTTTAACCTCGTTTAATAATTTAAACACTCTAACGAGGAAATGAAAGGAAATCCTTTGAAACCAGTAGCATTTTGTTGCGAATAATAAAATTCAGCTAATGATTTACTTGCTATATTTTATTTAGCTTAAAAAAAGAAATTATAATATCATATAGGTACATATATATTTAATTATATTTATAAATAATTGATTTAATAAAAATATTGAATGATAAAAAACATGTTAAAAATAATAATAATGCAATACTAATTTAAATAACACAGATAAAAATAGAATGTAAATAAATAATCTAAAACAAAGAAGATTTCAATAAAATAGCGGGTCAAGAGCCGTTAGCCTGCTGTTACGCTCCGGATGGCATCTAAGCCAGCAGCGCACGAGTCGCCCGATTCTACCGTTGCCTAAAGGTCATCGATCATTGTTTTTTTTTTTATTTATCTCAAAAGTATTTGTATCGTACAAAATCAATACAGCTTCACTACAAATGAATATAAAAGTTTGACGTCATTGATAAAAATGTATCAATTCATATGTTGGTACTTGTTTTATGACACAATTTGTAAAAGCCGTGATACAAATTATTCCAAACCATACTTAGGTTTAGAACAATAGCTCAGTTTTATAATCTGATCAATATTTTTTAGTTTAATGGAAACAAAACAATTAATTACCCACCACTGACTTTATTTAAACACGATAAACTGATCGAAGAAAATTCACTACAATAAAAGTGCAACACTAATATGTATGTATATATTAAGCACTTTCACAACTAAAAACAATCACTCATTCCCTTTAATAAGATGCGTAAAAGGATCGGGCACAATCAATAGCATTAAGCGCATGGTACTGACACGATTTATTGACAAAATTCACAGTTGCTTACAGCACAAGGTTCGCGTACAAAATGGTGAATGTTTCCTGAAAACGATCCTCGCGTGCCGTAATTGCCAACGGTCTGCTGAACACGGACTCGAAAGTATCGGCGCCACGGCCGCTGCACTCCTCACGCACTTACGTAACATCCACTGCAACCTACATCTTTTAAATCGAAACGCCTGCGAAACTTCAGGAGATCGAAGAGGCGGCCATGAAAACGTGTCGCCGCAGAGATGACTCACGGCGCACACGGGCGCCCTCTATGCGTTTCAGATCCGGGAAAAGCACATCGGAAGCTTTTAACCTTGGGCGCAGATTAATGTGGGAGAGCGATGAGAGAGCCGCTGTGGACTTACCCTGGTCTGGCGGCCGAGGGTGTGGGTTTGACGCGCTTCCGTTTGTTTTCAGAGATGTTTGAGAGCTGGGCGCTCAGATCAAGTCGCAGCGTCGGTCGGCATGGCGTCGCCGATGGGTGCGCGGTGCGACTGCGGGCTAGAGGCGAAGGCATCGGCGGAGCCGTGGCGGCGCATGCGCGCTACCCTTCCAGGGCCTTCGATCTAGCGCCTCGATGCGCGCCGCCCCCGACGCGCAACTCACACCGCAAATAACGTTAGCAAATCTACACAACTCGACCATTTCAAGTGTTCAACCCCCAGAGCGCAGCTGAATTGAGCCTAATTATTGTATTAGATTTTTTTGAATTTCACATTTTGACGCGTCACTTTTAAAGAGGTTTCGTTTTTCTTTAACACCTTCTTTGTTTTGCATTCATTCACTTTTGTTAAAAGCTCGCGTTACTGGCAAAGAATTTGAGAACGTTAGATATAATTTACTTCGAACTGGCCAGCATTGATTTTGAATTAATTGGCTTCTACTCGTATAATGAAAAGTTTTTATAAAACACCTTTATATAGGGAATTATACTGGGAAATCGATAACGTACTGCTTAGCTTATTTAAGCTACAGAAATTTTAACAACAGACTTATTTAAAAATTATAAATTTCATGTATATTCTAAATTAATTTATAACATTTTATAAGATTATATAAACGATTATTAAAGAAATATAGATAATAATGAAGTAATAATAAAGTTATATTTATAAATGCATGCTCATAGAAAACATACAAATACGCGATTTATCCATAGGTACATTTTAATTTTTTTGAGCGGAACCCTCTTTTTTTAAAATAAAAGTAGCCTAAGTTATTCCTTATAACATCAGCTACCTGCCAGTGACAGTCCCATCAAAATCAGTCGAGTCGTTTCGGAGATTAGCCGGAACAAACAGATAGGCACAAAAAAATAAAAATTGTGTTTTTCTTATAAGTAAAAACTGAACTAAATGAACATGAAATTATATACGATAATTTCATGTTCATTTAGTTCAGTTTTTATTTAACTATAAATAGATGTATAGATTAATCGTCACCTGTCACATAAATGTATCGAAATTAATATGTAAGATTTTTATGAATTTGGACGTTTTAGTAATAGTACAAATAGGTTTTAATGATCACACAGTCATTTAATTTAGGTATTAGAATAATAATCAAATTTTTATTAAAAAAAAGTATTAATAAAACAGAATCAATATTGTGTACTGTTGAATTCCAATATTATTATCCCTATCGTAATACAATAGAACTCATGTAAACCCTGTTTACGAGAAGGACGTTAGCCCTTTAAAGGCACAGGGCGCACGTGACCACTGTTCAGTCGATATTTTCTTATTATTTTATTTTTTACCTTCACTGTTGTCAGTTTAAGTAATTTTAAATATTTTTAAAATATTTTTCCTTAATTATTTACATAAAATCAAAAATTATAAACGTTTCTCTTTTTTTACTAAATTTACATTGGACATGATGTTTGTTGATTCACAAATAATACCTAAGATTTACCATAAAAACAAGGGTCATCAACAGGTTTTCTCAATAAGTTGAATGCAAGCAACTTTCATATTACCAATGAAATATATCTCTATGAAAATAATGTAAAATTTTCAAATGAGGTTAGTGCCTGCTAATAACAATATACGAAACATACTTAAGATAAAATATTGTATTTGCTTGCTCATTACGAAAAAAAAAATTAATAAAAATCTTAGGGTTTCAGTTTGAATGTGTATTTTATTTATCGTAAACAAATATATGTATTAATTGCCATAATTAATTACCGTAGCGAATATTCGGGGGTCAAAATACGTCATAAGCTATGAACATCTGCTATGACGTCACTGTAAGTATTGATTACTTTGTTCACCTTTCTTCGAGATCTAATCAAATATCTATAGGCTATAATCTGTTTTCGCGCATTTGAAATATCTCTTGAATTTTACCTTTCACAACTGACCAAACTTTGTACATTTACCAATCCCAACACTAATTCATTATAAATGTTTTTATTAAAAATAAATTCAAATATGTTGATTGAATATTTAATAGTAATTGTAATATATTTGTTATGAATAATAATTTAGGTACATTAATTAACCCCCCCAACGTGCGTTCACCTTGTCGTGGTGGGGGGGCTCAGTAGTGCCCGGCGACCCAACCGGGCGCGAAGCCAAGAAACGCACAGGGAGGTGGCCCACTTCGGTGGGCGGTGGGAGGTGGCCCTCTTCGGAGGGCAGTGTACCATGCGGGTTGCTCCTGGTACTTCTCTGATAGCAGAGTGGACTGTGGAGCAACTCCGTGGTTGTTGTGGTCTGCTTCGGCAGACCTGCCGTCGGGGCGTCGTAGTTGAATGCGTAAGCGATCCTGCGACGCCCCATTAAGACGGGGGAAGGCTTTGTTGGGTTTTAGTGGGTAGTACTGGCTTTACCGGTGAGTCCCACACCTCGTGCGTAAATGCATTTCCCAACATAAAAAAAAAAACAAAAAGGTACATTAATTAAAAGCTAACAAGAAATTATCTAAAAATAATGTATGAATGTGATGACTTTCATATATATTTTTTACTTATATGTATTTTTATTTTCGAATTATTATATATTCTTGCTTGAATTTCTCTTACACGAGGATGGTATGTGGTCACACACGATTTCCAATATCCAAGATGGGAGTTAAGGGATTTTTTGTGTATCTAAATTAATGTTACTCCAAACTCAAAGAACCTACTCCCCTTAGAATATTGTAACATTTCTCAGCGTTTTTATTGTCTCCGAATGTTTTTGTAGATTGATATTTGGGATAGCTAGTTTTCTCGGAGATAGTTTATTTTTCATCTTTTAACAAAGATATATATATATATAGAGAAAGAGAGAGAGAGAGAGAGTATCTATAACGGCTTTCAGTCCTCTTTAATGTGGATTGTGTATAAAATTTAAAGGTTTTAAGTTACTTAATTGCTCATTTATTTCTAAGTGAGCAATTCAGGATGCGCAGGTGCATTACTCTGGCGCAAAAGCCATAAAATTATACGACGATAATGTATTATCACCGAAGGTAGCTAGGAACGAAAAAGGATATCTATGAAAAACACGATAAAATTTTGCAGGAATCGCTTATTAATTCTTAACGGATGATTAAGCGCCATCCTCATAAAACACAATGTAATTTTTTTGATTGCCGAGTCATAATAAGGTTTTTCCTACATATTATGTTCAGATATGTTCAACAATTTAGTAACTAAAAAATGTTACAAATCACGTATTTTTTACAAACTGAATGAAAATACAGCAAAAAAATATTTTGTTTATATTTTTTGTTCTAAATAGAAATTTTATAGTAAAATCATTTTAGTATTCACTTTTTTATTTGATCATTTCTCTATAGTGAAGACATTTTATAATGAATAAGTAAATTCCAAATGAAATATAACCTGAATAACAAGTGATGTAGAATGTAGGATCAGGTAAAGCTACGCATTACTATGGAACCCTATAATGAGGCCATACATATTGATTAAACGTTCCTACACGTAAAACGATAAGACGAAATAAAAAAAAACTTTTATTTCGAAAATGCTAAATATTCTTTAATTTAGTATTTCAATTTAATTTTACTACCAAGAGGTATCGGATACCGTCCAAAATTTCAATTTTATTTGTACTGTTTTAAACTTTACTACTAAAAATATGGTATATAGGTACTCCTATAAATAAAATTGAATGATGAAAAATAGGAATACGATACTAGTTCATCTATATTAATATTAAATAAATTAATATTATAAAGAGGTAAAGTTTGTGAATTTGTGAGTTTGTGACGTTTTAGGGTAGATGAAATTTGGTAAGAAGATAGTTTGAGATCCTGGGAAACATAGGAAACTTTTTATCCCGGAAATCACCCCTGAAGGGAGTGAAAATGGGGATGAACGTTTGTATGGGGAATCAACCTAGGGACGTACCCGAGCGAAGCAAGGGTGAGTCGTTAGTACTACAATAATTTTCATCAAAACTGATGAGTCTATTTCCAACCTGAATTTTCTTGCCTGCACACTATTCTAGTAGCATCTAGTTTCGGCTACTTTATTGAAAGATCCTCTGATTCTTAAAAATATACCAAACGTCATATCGATTGAAATGCATAATATGTTTATGAAAATCTTATACACATTCGGAAAAGAGCTCTCAACTTTAAAATCGATTTTCTTCTATGACAGCAAGAATGTACTCGCGATTAAAAAGCTGTCAAATATAAAAATTGCATTACGTTTGGGAACAAAAGTGCCACAGACATACTATGACACATACACTTAATAAAAAGGTTAAATACTCTATGCATATACTGACGACAAATGCGTCACCACATCTCGATATTAAACTCGATCTTTATTACTGGATATAAGGTAAAAATAGTACTGGATTTGACGTGTAAAAAAATGCGAATAAAATGAGAAAACTTATTTTAGTATTCCAATCATCCGATCATATATTATTATAGCTTGAAATCAAAATACGTACTAGGAAGCTGAATATTTTAATCTCTGTTACTTTTAAGGAAACTGAAACTACATGGCATCGTCTAAATGAGATTATAATTTAAAAAAAATACATAAAAATTTTAAACTTGGAAAGTTTTTGATTTCGCCTACACTTAAATTATTTCTGTCATTAATAACGACACATCAACTCAAGTCAACTCTTTAGTTTCGTGGCTTCTAGAAGTGCCTTTGGGCACAATTTACTAACCACACATCATGCAGTAGGCAAACAATATTTATGACATCATATTTTATTCATATGCGAAAAAACAATTAGAAGCTTTTTCCTTGTCAGAATTTATAGAAACTATATATAAGACATTTCATGTTTATATAGTAAAGAAACAATTGAGAATTAGAGTAAACAGTGCCACTAAATGTTTGTTGAAATATATCTTAAAATTTTCAACATTTAAAATTTAATACATTCTAAGTTAAATAGGCAGTGGTGGCCCAATGGTAACTCGCTCGCTTGGGAAACCGAGTGAAGCGGGTTCAAACCCCGGGTCTCGCACCTCTGATATTTTCATGTGCGAATCATTTCCAACATGATTACCACTTTCCTTACGGTGAAGGAAAACGTGAGGAAACCTGCATGTCTGAGAGAAGCTAGCAAGTTTTCGAATGACATGTGTAGTCCGCCAATTAGCACTTGGTCAGCGTGGTGGACTATGG